TGTGCGGAACCACCCGGACGGCGTCCGCTTGCAAGTATGATATATGGTGTGCCTGTTTACGAGAGACGTTGCAGCGAACTGCCCGGGCATCGAGTGGCAACAATGGTATCTCCGAGGGGATATGATCTGTTCGTTGACGAGATGTATAGTGGGCACTTTAAAATATTGGGGATGTCTGGTATCAAGACTTGGTGACCAGATGCTTAGCAGGTAGAGTGGCCCTGATCGGGGCGAATGGGATATGTTTCGGATAGAGTAGGAGGGAGTGTATTTGTTTTGGGTAAAACTCTGCAGACAGAAGAACCCCTTTTTTTTGAAATGGGTAGTCCGGTAACTATTCGAGCATTTGATTTATTGTCATTGAGTGGCATGATGGAACCATGGGGGTGGTCGGGATATTATAAGTAAGGCATGAACTCCATCCTAAAAAAGAAACAACCCATGCAATTGGAGTTCATGCTAAAAAAACATGCCTTACCCATAACATTCCGACCACCCCCATAACATCCCGACCACCCCGATAACATCCCGATGCATGGGTTATTTTTTAAGGATGGCGGTCAACGAGTAATTAGGTAATGGAAAGAACGTTCTCGGACGAAACTCTCGTGTGTGAGATTCTGTGTGAGTTACGAGTCTATTCTCAGAATGCATCGTCGGAAAATTGTATTTGACACATATTTGGCATGGATTGATTGATTGGATTGCGCATATGCTTTGGTGCAAGTACGGTCTTTTTGGAACGAATCAGCATGCATCACCGTATAGTGAAGGTCATTCTTAGGTGTGAATGGGCTTGATGGATGCTGGAATGACAAGGGAATCGATGGACAATCTACCTGCTGAGGTGACCGTGAAGGGGAGCGCCCATCTTTATGTGCTGAGGCCTTCGCATTGTTCGCAATATGTGTTCACACACATCATCACACACATCATCACAAACACCATCGCATACAGATTGAGAAACGACTCTCAATCCACGAATATCTACTCTTCAAGTTCAGTCCTCTACTTCACTCTCTGTTACGCCGACGAGACCCAACTGAGGGCCTTGCTGCACTACTTTCCAAACGGCGGCATTTCGAATGAACTAGGGGACAACAGCAGGGTCCAGATACATTCAAAACGTTGGCACTCGGCGGGTGCTGCAACGCCGCTCCGATGCTCTCCAGAACCTAAAATAACCACGACCATGACCTTCTGTGTGATCACTTCCCTCCCCCCCCCCAAAAGAAAAGAAACAAAACAACAAAAAGGGAACACAAGAAGGCAGAAAGAAACAAGTTCAAACCAAGGCAGAACCGTAAGCAAAGGAAAAAGGGAGAAAGAAACGTGTACAGGGGAAGTACAAGTACATGCTCTGGAGGCTGCGTACGCACTAAAAACAACCGGGCTACGCAAACAGTTAAAAAACAAAAAGAGGAGAAATAAAAGATTCCAAGAAAATCTGAATAGTCTACATGTTGTGCAATTTACAAATACAAACAACTCGAAAAAAGAAAAGAAAAAAAAACTCTTGCCTGAAAAACATGTCCAAACTCCTAGTTAAGCTCAACATTAAAAAAAAAAAATAATAATAATAATAAAAAAATAAAAAATAAAAATGAATAAATTCATAATAAATTAATGATACAAAAAAAAAAAAACCAAAAATCTATTAAAAATTTATAAAAAATGAATAAATTCATAATAAATTAATGATACAAAAAAATTCCATACTCCCACGTATAGGAGTACGTGTACTGGAATGAAGTCCCACTAGCAAATAGGATTGGATTGAACACCCGAATCTGGCCGTGTTTGTGGCAAGGTGCACGAATCGGGATTGAACTGCGTTCCTACATCTCTGCATATGCGTTCCTACATCTCTGCATAAAAAATACGTCCAGATTCATGATCTTCACCCAATTCTCCTTTGCTAGTGGGACCTCGACCCAGGTGTACGCACTCGCGTACGAGAGCATGTGCCCTCGTGTGTATGTGAAAATGTACGCATGTACTCTGTGCTACCGGGTTCAAATACAAAAATCCACAACTCAGAAAATGAAGATGATTAATATTTTGATTATCGATATGCAACGATGCCTCAGGCTTGTTCATCTCTATTTCACTCTTTCAAAAAAAAAAAAAAAATCCATCTTTTTTTCTTCGGTGTTTCTATTCCACTCTTTGAATTTTTTTTTTCCCGTCTTTCTTTCGTCGGTGTGTGAATTTGCCAAGCACAAGTGAAGAGACATTTGAGCCTCGCCGCACTACTTGCCAAATGTGCAAAATGAGAACAAATCATACGCTAAATTTGCGGCTCAAACACGAAAATGGTAAGGAACGGCTCATGAATCTGGACGTATTTTCTGCCTCAAACACGTAAGTGAGCAATCAAAAGTGGGGCCTCAAACTCGAAAACAGCTCATACACTTTTCTGCATTTGGTTAGTGTGGTGACTCGTGAGGCCCATTTTCCCAGAGTTAAGCCCTGTAAGTGGGCAATCAAAAAAAGGGAGAAACAAATATCTTCCCTTTTGTATTTGTCAGCGTATCCAGGAAGTTCACGACCAGGTATTTCCCCCGCCCGCCCCCACCCCCGCCCCCGCCCCCCCCAAAAAAAAACACAAGGATTTCCAACATTATATTCCTCATCATAATGGGGCCTTTTCTTACAGATACGGCTTATTTCACGGAGTTTCTTCATGAATCTGACAATGAATCAAGTCGGCAAGTATGCCCTCATTCGAATCGACGACCTGCAATTCAAAAGGAGTAAAACCAACGAGCCTCGCTCAATTAGCACACCCACGAACTGTTGCATTCGGCTCTAATCCAGATGGATTAGATGGTGGCTGAAACAAAAGAAGAAAAAAAGGCAAAGAGAGTGAAAAGAAAAGCCAAACAGTTCAAAAAAAAGGCAAAGAGAGTGAAAAAAAAAAAGGCAAAGGTTGAAAGGGAAAAAAAAAAAGACAAGGAGAAAAAGAACAACAAATCGCAATGTGAGTGGGAAAAAAAAAAAAAGGCGACGGGAGTGGAAGGGGATAGAAGGATATAATCACACGCGGTGTGTTGTCATATGTCCTCCTGCATCCGTCAATTGACACTGATGCGACTAAACGTAATGGATAAGTCGGTGCTGACGACAAGTTTCGGGATTAGAAAGAACGGTAAGCCCTCGAGGGGATCCGCTGCGGCGGCCAATAGTCACAAAACCAATCAGTGCTCGTCGGAGGGTGTCCGCTGCGGCAGACAATAGTCACAAAACCAATCAGCGCTCGTCGGAGGGGATCCACTGCGGCGGACAATAGTCACAAAACCAACCGCTGCGGCGGACAATAGTCACAAAACCAATCAGCGCTCGTCGGAGGAGATCCGCTGCGGTAGACAATAGTCACAAAACCAATCATCGCTCGTCGGAGGGGATCCGCTGCGGTGGACAATAGTTACAAAACCAATCAGCTCGTCGGAGGGGATCTGCTGCGGCAGACAATAGTCACAAAACCAATCAGCGCTCGTCGGAGGGGATCCGCTGTGGGGGACAATAGTCACGAAACCAGTCAGCGCTCATTGGAGGGGATCCGCTGAGGCGGACAATAGTCACGAAACCAGTCAACGCTCGTTGGAGGGGCTCCGCTCCGGCGGACAATAGTCACAAAACCAATCAGCGCTCGTTGGAGGGGCCCCACTGCGGCGGACAATAGTCACAAAACCAATCAGCGCTCGTCGTAACGTGTTTTCGTCTGAAAACAGCTCCACATAGCAACTCACAATTCTTCAAACTTGGCCGATTCGTCAAACTTGGCGGCGGAGTTTGTCACATCGACGTCCTGCATGCAGGCTTGTTTGCTCCCTCCCTTTCTCAGAGCCTAGCCACAGGGATTGCTGAGGAAAGACAAAAATGTAAATGCTTCACAATTTCTTTCCTCCCTTCTTTTTCCACACCTGCTTCATCCCCCCTTCCACAATTTCTTTCCTCCCTCTCCCTTTTCCACTCCTGCTCTCCTCCTCCCATCTTCTACCACACTCGCTCTGCTTGGCATGCTCGCCCAACTCCAACTCATCTTTTCCTCCAATCCCCACTTAATCCTCCTCCTCCTCCCCCTCCTCCTCCTCCTCCTCCTCCTCCCACTTAATCCAGATCCCATGTCCCTTGCCATACATTCATGTTAATCCTCCTCCTCCTCCTCCTCCTCCTCCTCCTCCTCCTCCTCCTCCTACTTATTCCAGATCCCGTGTCCCTCGCCATACATTCTTGTAATCTCTGAACCAAAAAAAAAAATGAGTCCAGCTGAGAAGGACCTCAGCCCCGGATTACTTGTTCAAACCCTCCTTAATAGACAACAACTTCTCCTTCTCCTTCTTCTCCTTCTTCTGCTTCTTCTGCTTCTTCTGCTTCTTCTGCTTCTCCGACAACAGCAACAACGAAAACCTCGTCACAAATAACAGCGAAAACTTTGTCATGAACGACAAACGAAAACTTCATCGTGAACAGGGACAAGGAAAAGGACACCCTACAGGTTGGATTGCGCATGTTTCCCGATAGCAAAAAATTCTCGGTGAAGCACAATGACAAACTTTGGATGAAGTAGCATCACGACTTCTCAGCGGAAAAGAACGACGACCCCTCCCGATGAAGAGCAACGACGGCAACAACGCGAGCAGCAAAAACGTCAATGGACTCGTCACAATCAGGGCTTCCCATCGGTGTACTCAGCAAGCAGGGCCTAAGACGATGAAAAAGAGAACACGGCGAACGAGTCGAGCAAACATGTACAGCAAACCTGGGTTTGCTGATGGCGTCACCAATGAGATGTGATGCACGAATAGTCCAACGGATGGTGCCGCTGTCATTCATGCGCAAACCCTCTGTCACAGAGATCGGCTAGCGTGCGACAAAACTTGCTGCATCCTCCAGGCGGTCCCTCTCTCTGTAGGCTTGACTCACCCCTCAAAGAATCTTTAAACCGCAGTCGGTGAGTCTAAATTTAACACAGCCATCTTCTTTTTTGTTTGTATCAAACCAATGACCATTTATCGTTGATTACCCAAACCGCCGACTTCGTCCAAATCAATGCGGCACAGACTTGTCAGCACTTTCTTCCTCTGCGGCTCTGCCAATTCACAGAAATGATGACATGATAGTATACGGTTTTTATACCGTTCAGGAGATCGGTTATTGGCTATCGGCTATCTAACTTGACAGATCGAGTCCGTCTCACTCTGTAGGCTGCACATTCCCCTCATCCTGCAGACTGGAGCGCGTGAATCGGAAACCCGCCAGCTCACCAGCGCTGCCTGCGACGAAGCCCAGGATTTGAGAATTGGGATAGAAGAAAATCTTCATTATCTCTTTTTCGACAGATCTTCCAACATCGTGGAGAAAGATGTTTACAACATCGAGCTTCATCTCCGTCAGGCAACGCTTCGCCATGCTCACAGACCAATACGCAGCCTCCATCCGGCCAGGATGATCTCTCTTAAAACCCTGCGGACCATCTGAGGCAATCAGGTACACAGCAGACACCAGGAACGCCACCAAACGCTGGCAATTAGTGACGGAAATTCTTTTCTCTCCTCGTGACCAAAAAGAAATCCACATACCAGGCTCGTTGCTCGTTGTCCATCCGCCATGACTACTCTCTCAACCCACGCCCACTCAGAACAATTGACTTTTTGCGTATTTAACCGAAAAAGTTGCCGACAGAATGGGGGAACAGCAAAGACGAGGAACACCACCAAATGCAACCAATTAGTGAGACTGAAATTCCCTTCTCTCTCTCTCTCTCTCTCTCTCTCTCTCTCTTTTTTTTTTTTTTTTTTTTTTTTTTTGGTAGTAATCAGTGTTGGACCAGTCGACGGTCGGCAGCCCTCGATCATTCTGGCGGTCGGCACCGACCGATCGGTGGGGGTTGGCCTGCCGCATTTTTGGTCAGCGGCCACCAGCACCCCGTAGGCCCAGTTTTGGGCTTTCTGGCCGGTACCGGGGTGGTCGGCCGACCGGGGCACGACCTGGGAGGCCGCCGACCGTCAACACTTCCTTTTCCCCGGTCGGCAGCAGTGAAAAGAGTGTGCTTGCCCACACTCTTCTCATTCTCCTGCGGTGGCATTCGAGGCAGTCATGAGTGTGGGCAGCCGCGTTGCCTGGGGAGGTGAGAAGAGTGTGTGCAGGTGTGCTGGAGCAGGGAGACATGGGCAGGGTGGGGGAGACAGGGCGGCAGCTTGGAGCTCGATGTCAGCTGAGGTGAGGGGGAGGAGTCCACTCAACTGGTTCTCATGTGGAGGGTCTTCAACAATACATAGCCGGAATGATTCCTCGGCAAGCTTCCTGCGTTGCGGCATGCAAGAAAGGCTGCCGCTTTCTGCCTCTTCCGGTCAGTGTGTGTGTGAGAGAGAGATTGACAGCCGGAAAGGGAGAGAAAAAGCTTCCACCTTCTTCTTCTTCTTCTTCTTCTTCTTCTTCTCCTTCTTCTTCTTCAAAGCCCTGGCACGCAATGCTAAGGGCACCCGCATTCTTAGAGAGCCTTGGATGAGGCTGCTCGAGAACCTGGTACTGTGGGATAGCAGCGCGCGACCAAATTTTGTGCGGCGAGAGCAGTTCTAAAATAGGACCGTACTTACGATATTTCTTTGCCCGAGTAGCGTAGGGTAAGAAATTCCTCTGTAGGTAGCACTCTTCGTAAATGTAGAAACTCCGCGTAACTTTGTACCAGCGGTGAAATAGCCTACGAGTTAGTTCTTGGAATATTATTGCCTAGGATTTTTTAAGGATTACCGGCATTTTAAATCAATTTAATTTGTTTCTACCCTAGGAACTACGTGGCGCTGCCACGGTAGCCCCATTGCCAGTTAGGCGGCCCAGTTACGGTACTACCAGGTTGCCCGCACATTTTCAAAAAAGAGCGGGGAATACAGCATACGTTGTGATGGATTTTGAAATTGTACAGGCCACGCGCGATACACGGTGTGTCGGATTTTGAAATTGTACAGGTCACGCGCGACACATGTGTGTAACTGACTGGACTACGGAGCCACGTACTAGGTTTTAAGTAGGGATCTGCGACACACGGATTAGCCCAATGGGAAGTCAGAATGGCGGAAGGAGCTGTACGCTTTAGCCCATTAGGGTTCAGGACTGGGATCCGCGCTGCACGACCTAGTCCAATAGGAATTCAGTGTTAGTGAAAGGCTGCTCGAAGAATAAATTTGATCGTTGGAAATGGCAGAAAATGAGTCGTTGCATCGTACCCCGACACATGAACATGCAGGGAAATCTGGCCTGTAGGCATAATCGTCGTGTCGACGTTCAAAGGCTTACGTGGACTGATCATCTGATGCCCATTAAGGGGCCAACACGTAACAGACTTTATAGTGCTTGATGCAACGTCTATATGGCAGTCCAGTCATAGCAGTAGTCGCTCGTGGAAGTGCCCGTTAGGGGAGGGAGTACCGTGCTGACGAAGCATCTACTTGGCGTTCAGTATATAGGAGGGCAAGGCCTGATCGGACCTCAGTTCTCAGAAGGTAGGGAGGTTTGATCGGTGGACCGCAAGGCGAGGGATGTGTGGAAAGCCCCCTGAGGATGATCGGAGCGCAACCGATCGAAATGCGTCGGGGATTGTGCGCATGAGTTGAGATGAGTATGCGTGGCTATGTATTGATGAGCTTTCGAAGCGTGTACGTAAGGCAGTTGGCCACTGTTTCCATTATTCCACTATTCCACTATTCCACTATTCTTCTTCTCTCTTCTTCTTTTAAAAAAATCGTTAGCCTGACCTTCGCCCTAATGATTTGATTCTTCTTCTTCTTCATCTTCTTCCTCCTACCATCACCCACCTCCACTCTCCCACCCCTTCTCCTACTTCTTCTTCTTCTTCTTCTTCTTCTTCTTCTTCTTCTTCTTCTTCTTCTTCTTCTTCTCTCCATCTTCTTCCACTTCTTCTTCTTCTCCATCGTTTACTTCCTCTTCTTCTTCTTCCTCTTCTTCTTCTTCTTCTTCCTCCTACCATCACCCACCTCCACGTTTTTTTTTTTTTTTAAATCGTCAGGTAGTGGGGACACACTTCTTCTTTTTCTTCTTCTCTCCATTTTCTTCCACTTCTTCTTCTTCTTCACCATCTTTTAATTTCTCTTCTTCTTCTTCTTCCTCTTACCATCACCCACCTCCACTTTTTTTTTTTTTTTTCAGAAAATCGTCAGGCAGTGGGCACACACTTCTTCTTCTGCTTCTTCTTCACCATGTTTTACTTCCTCTTCTTCTTCTTCTTCTTCTTTATCTTCTTCTTCTTCTTCCTCCTACCATCACTCAACTCCACTTTTTTTTTTCCKGAAAATCGTCGGGGAGAGAATCGTCAGGCAGTGGGCACACACTTCTTCTTCTGCTTCTTCTTCACCATGTTTTACTTCCTCTTCTTCTTCTTCTTCTTCTTCTTCTTCTTCTTCTTCTTCTTCTTCTTCTTCCTCCTACCATCACCCAACTCCACTTTTTTTTTCCGGAAAATCGTCGGGCAGCGGGGACACACCTCCCACCCCTTCTTCTCCTTCCTTTTTCTTAATCTTCTTCTTAATCTACTTCTTCTTCTTCACTCCATCTTCTTCCACTCTTATTCACCATCTTTTACTTCCTCTTCTTCTTCTTCTTCTTCTTCTTCTTCTTCTTCTTCTTCTTCTTCCTCCTCCTCCTACCATCATCCACCTCCGCTGCTTCTTCTTCTTCACCATCTTTTACTTCTTCTTCTTCTTCCTCCTCCTCCTCCTCCTACCATCACCCACCTCCACTTCTTCTTCACCATCTTTGACTTCCTCTTCCCCTTCTTCTTCTTCTTCTTCTTCTTCTTCTTCTTCCTCCTCCTCCTCCTACCATCACCCACCTCCACAGTTTTTTTTTTTTCTTCGGAAAATCGTCGGGCAGTGGGGGCACACTTCTTCTTCTTCTTCTTCTTCTTCTCCTCCTCTCCATTTTCTTCCACTTTTTCTTCTTCTTCACCATCTTTTACTTCCTCTTCTTCTTCTTCTTCTTCTTCCTACCATCACCCACCTCCACTTTCATTTTTTTTGTTTTTTTAATATTCGGAAAATCGTCGGGCAGTGGGCAGTGGGCACACACTTCTCCTTCTTCTTCCTCTTATTCTCCATCTTCTCTCCATCTTCTTCCACTCTATCATTTTCTTCTTCTTCTTCTTCTTCTTCTTCTTCTTCTTCTTTTTCTTCTTCCTCCTCCTCCTCCTCCTCCTCCTCCTTCCATCACCCACCTCCACTTTTTTTTTCCGGAACATCGTCGGGTAGTGGCCACACACCTCCCACTCCTTTGTCTCCTTCTCCGTCTTCCTCTTCTTCTTCTTCTTCTTCTTCTTCTTCTTCTTCTTCTTGTCCATCTTCTCTCCATCTTCTTCTACATCTTCTTCACCATCTTTTACTTCTTCTTCTTCTTCCTCCTACCATCACCCACCTCCACTTTTTTTGTTTTTTTTTGTTTTTAATATTAAAAAATCATCGAGCAGCGGGCACACACCTCCCACCCCTTCTTCTTCTTCTTCTTCTTCTTCTTCTTCTTCTTCTTCTTCTTCAAGTTCTTCTTCTTCCTACCAACCACCTACCTCCACTGCAACAACGATGGCGAGGAATTGAGGACCATTTGAGCCTGAGACTGGTGAACAGAGAGAAAGGACGCTCAACCTATAGGAGCTTTGGAGATGGGCAGATCGAGGGCAGAGGGTGACGAGCGGCACCTCGCACGGTTCGTGGAGGTTGTGTTGCAGGCTGTGCAACAAAAGAGTTCATCGGCGCGCTTAGCGAAGTGGTGAACCACCACACCCAACCGTTGCCCACTTCCCCCTGTCCACGTACCACCGTGGAGATTCTTGCTTTGATCCGGAGGAACCACCCGAAGGTGCCAATCCCCGCCTGCAATCGTTGGACAATTGATAGAGTTCTAGCTGCTGCTCGACCTCCGCGACCTCCATCTGCTGGAGAGCAGTCGTCCATGAATAATTTTGTGCAGAAAGAGTTTGACCAGGCGGTCGCCTCTTTCTTCTTTAAGAATGCCATTGCCTTCAATGCTGCGAGATCTGACTCGTATAAAAACATAGAAAGGATCGTGAACCTGGCGGCTAGATCAAGGAAGATGTTGTGATTGCCACGATACAAGCGCTTGAGGACGAAGGCCCTACCCACGAGGTACAAAGCCATGGATCACGATTTAGATAAGATCGGTGAGTCGTGGGATGTCATAGTCTTCACCTTGATAACAGACGGTATAACGACGTGGCCGATCATCAACTTCCGTGTAGTCGACGATTCGGGGGCTGTCATGGCGAGGAGTGTGGACATGGAGGGGAAGGATAAGTTGGCCCCAACTTTTGCAAGGATGTGGGAGGAGGTCATAAGGGAGTTGGGGGTGCATAGGGTGAACGCCATCTACACCGACTCAGCTCAACATTTCGGCGAGGAAGATATTGGCTGAGCACGAGGACCCTGTGATCCGCAGCATTCCATGGGTG